CGCAGCCACCGCCGGGACCGCTCCCGCTCGCGCTCCGCTAGCCGCCACCGCAGCGCCTGGAACAGGTAGTGACGGCCGGCCCAGCTCCGCGACCCCTGGAGCTTGGCGGTCTGGAGCCTCGATCCTCGTGGTGACCTGCGTGCGGCCCAGTGACCGGGAGGCAGGCTCTATCGACAGCGCACTCTGGACCCAGGGTCTCTTCCCCCGGGAGGCAACACGGACACTTCCGCCTCGGAAGCGTGGCGGTCACTCTTTTTGCTTTAGACTTCCTTTCCGATTTTCGGACCCGATAGCTTTGATGTCACTGGCCGTGTGTGAAGTCGAGCCCACCTGGCAGACAGACCTGCGTGGTCATTCCACGCACTGCCTCTCCCGGGACCATGCGTACTGGGCACAGGGCGGGCGGCTCCAGCATCACCGAAGGCGCTGAAAACTCACCCCAAAAATTCTTTCCCTGGTTTAATTTTCATTTTTAAATCTTAACTGATTGAAACGCACAGTTTGGGTGGAAGACGGCATACTCCTTTACAATCAACCATTCAGACGTGTCCAGCCTGTCCCCTGGTCCCGGGGACATGGTGTAGGGCGCTCCGTACCTTCCCAAACGCGTAAATTCCAGTAAGTTAGGGTTGACAAAAAGGGTGTCATGAGCTTTGGTTTCTAATAAAGATTAGTGTGTGTGGTTATTTTCAAAGAAGCCGTTTTTGTTGCTAAGTTATTTTTAACCTGGGATGTTTCCAACAGATTTCAGGCTGCAAACTCGTTACATTTTATAATCGTTAGCTTCTCAGAAAAAAAAAAAAACAAAAAACAAAAAAACACGCGAAGCTCAGGAATATTTACAAACAGTGGTAACTTCGCCATTAGGGAAGAGTGTGTCTACTCCAGTTTGCATTTTTATGGTGAAATAAAACCTTTTTCCAATGAACCCAGGCTTTGTGTGTTTACACTTTTTGGAATGTGTGTTTTATGTTGTGTGTGGGTTGTGCTACTATTGTGTCACACATGCCACCAGTGGGTGGATTTAAGGAACATACGTTCTCTCAGTTTACTGTTACGTGCTGTGGAGTCGGTTCCGGCTCATAGCGGCCTTGTCTGTACGGTTTCCAAGGAGCAGTGGGTGGCTTTGAACTGCTGACCTTGCGTTTTGGAGTCACTCCAGCACCATACCAAGACTTCCTCTCACAGACTGTTGGTGTGCCATTAAATCTAATTCCACCCCGGCACCCTTGTATCAGGTTTCTGGGGACCTTGTTTAAATAAATGGACCTTGAGACCTTGCCGGATTCATAAGTACCTTCAAGTCTCTTGACTCATAAATCACCCTGTGGAGGTTTTTCCAAGGAGCAGCTGGTGTGTTTGAACTGCCGACCTGGGGGCTCACAGTTCAGTGCTTGTCCTACACCAGAACTCCTTTCGCAGATGAGTCTAGAAGCCCACATTAGGGGCACCAGCCCACAAGAAGTTTCTGGCTCTGAGCTCTGGAGGAAATTCCTTTTTTCAGCTCTGTTCCCAGTCCCTTGGAGCTCTCCAGTGGATCTCTAACCCCATGTCTCTTTTCTTCTCTGTCATAAAATGAAACAACCTAGTGTCCATTAGAGTCAGTTCTGACCCATAGACACCCTGTGTACGGTTTCCAAAGTGCCTCTGGTGAGCTTGAATCGTCAACCTCGTGGTTCAAACCGGTTTTTCAGTACATAGCATTAACCCACCGCGCCACACCAGACTCCATTAACGGATGATAGGAACACACGATGTAGAGTTCATCCACTAAAAATGCAGGATGATTCAGACATCAGAAAGGAAAACCCGGTGTCTGTCAGGAGAAGACAGATATACACAGTGGTGTCCAATAAAAAGATGGTGTGTGCCGTACTTATTCAATCGGAATGCTGAGCAAATCATCTCAGAAGCTGGATTCTGTGAAGAAGAACATGGCATCAGGATTGGAGGAAGATGACACAACCTTGCTTGCTGAAAGCGTAGAGAACTTAAAATACTAACGAACATCAAAGAGCACACAGTCTTTGGTATGGGCTCAACTTCTATATAAAGACAGGGCTCGCCAAGGCACCAATACATGACATCGTGATAAACGGAGAAAAGACTGAAGTTACCAAAGACTGGTGTGCTCGGCTCAACCATCAACACTGAACGGAAGCAGCAGTCAAAAATCAAACAACGCATTGCGTTAGGCAGATCTCATGCACAAGTCGTCTTTCAAGGGTTGAAGAGCAAAGATGTCAGTTTGAGGTCTAAGGTGTCCCTGACCCAAACCAGAGTCTTTGCAATAACCCTCAGAGGTATGTGAAAGCTAGGTAGTGAATAAGAAACCTCAGAAGAATTGATGCATTTGAATTAGGGTCTCGGAGAAGGATTTTGAAAGTACTGTGGACTGTCAGAACAACACACTAATCTGTGTTGGAATATTTCAAGCCAGAATGCACCTTAGAAGTCAGGATGACTAGACTTCATCTCTCATACTTTGGACATACTGTCAGGCGGGACCAGTCCTGAAGGACGCCCTGCTTGGTAAAGTGCAGGGTCAGCTAACAGGAGAAAGACCCCCAACGAAATGGATTGGTACAGTAGCAACAGCCGTGGGCTCCGGACTGGGCGGTGTTTTCGCCTGTTGTGTTTAAAGGTCACTACGTGTGGGTTCCAACATCAGGGCGCCTAACAATATTAGCCATCAGAAAGGATGGACATCTAAGATGATATATGAACACCGTGTGGGCCATTCTGTACAATGGAATATTACTTGGGCATGAAAAAGGAACAAAGTTAGTGACCTCTAACAGATGATGGATTTACACACAAGGTCCATCCATTCCATGGAATATTTTGTTAAGTGTCACCGAGTCGGTTCCAACTCATACCTACCCTGGATAGCGTTTCCAAGGAGTGGCTGGTGAGTTTGAACCGCCAACCTTGTGGTTCTAACCAGCCTTATGGTTCCGTGTTTCATTCCACAGTGCCACAGCAGGCCTCCCAGTGGACCCCTGTTGTTGTTATTAAATGCCGTTGAGTTGATTCTGACCCATGGCGACCCTGTATAGTGTTTCCGAGGAATGGCTGGTGAGCTTGAACAGCCGACCTTGAGGTTCAAACTGACTTTGCAGTCCAGAGCATTAACCCACAGTGCCAAATCAGGAGAAAGTAACCCAATTTCCAACAACCCGAAGATAGATAAATACATGGTCCATCCATATAACAGAGTATTAGCCATCCAAGGGACCAACCCAAGTGCCCATCAACAGATGCTGTGTGAACACAAGTTGACCATTCCACACAATGGAGTATTATATTCAGTCATCAAAAAGAACCCAACTGTCCATTAATAGGTGATAGATGTATGCAATGTGGTCCATCCACACAATGATATGTTAGTCATAAAACAATCAAATCAAGTGTGCATCAATAAATGATGGGACACACAACGTGGCCTGTCGCCACAATGGAATATTAATCACCCATTAAAAGAAGGAACCCAGGTGTCCATCCACAGATGATGGAGACACACAGTATGGTCCATGCATACAGGGATGTATTAATTACCCATTAAGAGAAAGCAACCCAGATGTCCATCCACAGACGATGCAGACACACAATGTGGTCCATCCACACAGCGGAGTATTAGTCATGGAAAAGAAACAACCCAGGTGTCCATCCACAGATGATGGAGACACACAGTATGGTCCATGCATACAAGGACGTATTAATTACCCATTAAGAGAAAGCAACCCAGATGTCCATCCACAGACGATGCAGACACACAATGTGGTCCATCCACACAGCGGAGTATTAGTCATGGAAAAGAAACAACCCAGGTGTCCATCCACACAAGATGGAGACACACAGTGTGGTCCATCCACACAATGGAGTATTACTCAGTCATGAAAAAGGAATAACCCAAGTGTCCATCCACAGATGATGGCTACACACAGTGTGGTCCATGCACACAGTGGAGCATTACTCAGTCATAGAGAGGAATGAAGTCCCGATGCCCGCCACCCCATGGGTCAGTCTTGAGAGCACCCTACAGGGTGAAATAAATCCATCACAAAAGGACCCACTATCTGATCCCAGCGTCTATGGAATCTCCAGGCAGAACCATGGGCAACTTGGTTCCTTTGAGCTTACTTGGGGCTGGTGTGTGTGTGTGTGTGCGCGCGTGTGAGGGATTCAAGATGACGGTTTTCATCGCCCCTCCCCACTGGAAGGCTGGAGTCCCCCTCTCCGTGTTGAACGCACACTGAGGCTCCCCCACCCACGGACAGTTCTGTGCTTGGCTTTGTCTCCACACACTCAGGGTGCAGTTCTGAAGGTGAACTTGGAATTAGGCCTCTGAAATGCCTTGTGTTATCAGTGCCTGAGGTCCTCCGCTGACACACATGGTTGGCCCTAAAGTCATCTCAACATCACAGAGCACTGTTCGTGCATGGGTAAACACTCAGCTGCCAACAGAAAGGTCGACGTTTCCACCCCATCCAGCGGAACGCTCTGGCAGTCTGCTTCCGTAAGGGGGAGCAGACGGGGCACGTGGAGGCTGCCCGGTAGCATCTCCCCGAGTTGGAAGGAGCAATGGGCCAGGGGCATTCCACCAGCTTGTGCGATAGCACTGGGGACAAGTTTGGACTGTCGGGAGAATGACCAGAATGTAACCCCAGCACAAGCTGTTAGGAAAATGGTGCCTACAGACTGGGTCGGTGCACGCGGTCCCACACCTTCCACTTGGTAACAAGGCATCGTCATAAAGCAAAGCTTGAGTCACTGAGGTCTGCCTGAAAATACTCGTCCAAGCCTTGTCCTCAGCTGCTGATACTCTGGGTTTCCATTGCATCAGTGTGTTCCGGGCCCTGCTCAAAGCTCAGTCTCATCCCTGAAGTAATCGTCTTAACTGCAGATTCCTGAGAAATCCTGGGGTAGCTGCAAATCTGGCTTGATCTCCTCAAGTAAACACGCATTACCCCAAAGGCTCCCCCAAGGGGCTGCTTCTGATTGCGTGTCCTCTGTATCTCTCTCCGGGGACCCGGCTTACACTACCCCCTGCATGGCACCTCAACTGTTAGAGCCCTCGAGTCCAGCCTGCCTTCCACGTCCCCACGTGTGTCAGAGCACAAATGATGTAGCGGATGATCTCGTCTGCTCACCTGAACTTAATTCATAATAAGAAGTTGAATAAAAACAGTGTTCAAGAGCAAAGATATCAGTTTGAGGACTGAGGTGTAGCTGACCCAAACCGGGGAATATTTTCAGTCTCCTCATATGCACGCAAAAGTTGGACAATGAATAAAGAAGACTGTATGAGAAGGATGTATTGAAATGACCATGGACTGCCCAAAGAACAAACAAATCTGTCTCGGATAAAGCATGGTGAGGCTTGTCCCTCATACCTCGGACCTACCGTCAGAAAGGACCCGTCCCTGGAGAAGGACATCACGCTTGGTAAAGCCATGGTGGGGTTTCTCAAGTCTGTTCCTGCTCATGGCGGCCCTGTGTATGTCTTTATAGAAGCAGTAAGCCTCATCTTTCTTCCGCAGACCTGCTGGAGGATTCGAACTGCTGCCCATGAGGTTAGCAGCTCAACGAGTAACCCACTATGCTACGAGGGCTCCTGGAGGGTCAGCAGAAGAGAGGAAGATCGCCCCCTCCCCCCCATGTACATACACAAGGAGATGGTTTGACACCGTGGGCTGGAACATCATTGTGAGGATGACTCAGGACCAAGCGGAGTTTCAGTCTATTATCCACAGGGCTACTGTGAGTCAGAACCGACTCAATGACACCTAACACCAACGGTATAGGGGCAAAAGCGTTACTTAGGAAATCCACCCCTTCTTTCCAGGGTTTTCTCGGCAATCATCAGCGTCTTACGTGTATCTAAGGTTAGATGACGCTGAGACTCTTCCCAGTCAGCCTGCTCCAACTGTAACTCAGCATTCCTGTTGTTATGTGTCGTGAAGTCGGTTCTGACTCATAGTGACCCTGTACAGGGTTTCTGAGGCTGTAAATCTTTATGGGAGGAGAAAGCCTCATCTTTCTCCCGCGGAACAGCTGGTAGTTTCGAACTGCCGACCTTAAGGTTCGCAGCCCGATTGTTAAAGTGCCAACTAGTTGACATAAGTGAGATGTTCCAAGTTGGTCAATATTTATAATGAAGGAAAATTTTTTAAGGAAAAAAAAGAAAGTAGAAATGAAAGATAGCCAGGCCTTTCTTCTTCAGCACCTCTGGGTATATCCAAGCCACCAAGCTTTTGGTTCGCAGCCGAGCACTTCATCGTTTGTATCATCCAGGTACTCGTAACCGCAGTTGCCCTGGAGAGTGGATTCTGAGTCAACGTGTCTCAGAGTAGAACCGTGCTCCCCACGTGATTTTTACCACTGCAGATCACCAGGCCTTTCTTTCGCCGCACTGCTGAGTGGGTTAGCCAGCAAACTCCTGGCGATGTGGTGTTGAAAGTTCACGCTGGGGACGCTCTTCCCTTCTCTCCTAAACAAGAAGTCCGTCTGCCGAAACAGGCAGGTGTGAGGAGCTTCCTGCCCCAGCGTCCCAAGCTCCAGCTGGAGCCCCACTGGATCTGCCATCAGACATGGCAGGACAGAGCAGGGGTGGGGGGTGGAGAGGGGCCAACAGGGCTAGGTGACAGCAGTAGCCACTGAGAGGCAGCGAGATGGGACCCTGGGTCAGTGGTCTCAGTTCTGGTGGTATGGTGGGGGTTGGTAGGGGTGAGAGTGAGGAGCGACAGAGAAGGGTTAGATGGGAGGAAGGGGAGATGAGTAATCAATAAAAGACCAGAGAAGGAGATGAGGAGGAAGACGGAGAGGAAGGTTAGGAGACCCCCAAAGGAAGAAACAAGGCTGTGTTTTAAGAAGCGCAGCCAGAGGCTCCTTAGAATCCAGGATGGGCTGACTCTGTCTCTCATGCTGTGCACATGTGGTCAGAAGGGACCAGTCCCTGGAGAAGGACATACTGCTTGGTAAAGTGGAGAATCAGCGACAAAGAGGAAGGCCCCCCAACAACATGGATTGGCGGAGCGGCAGCAACTTAGGACAGGTTGTGTTTCAGTCTGCCGAGCATTCGAAACCAACTCAACAATCCTGAAAGCAAAAAGAGACCCCCTCATAGAGATTTTGCAGGCCCCCTGAGCTGTGAAACTTGGCTCATCCCTTTGTCCCCCAGCCGAATACATAAAATGATGAGTCCATGTGCTGAGAATTGCAGCTGACCACTAACCCAACAGTTGGAGGTTCAAACCCAACAGCCACTCCAGGGGGAAAGATGCGGCAGCTTGCCGTCACTACGAGTCAGAACCGGCTCGATGGCGGGGCTGTTTTCATGGTAGACAGACAGATGGGTGTTTGCGCTGAGCTATTTGAAGACTGATGTCATTCGGGCCAAGAGGGTTGGGGGGATGATGGGAAAGCCAGATTGTGTCCAGGAGGATTGCAGCCTTTGTAATAAGGCTAATGGAACATTCTGGAACAGCCTGCTTTAGGGCTCATGCTGGGTCACACTTCTGAGCAGCTGGCGGACACCCAGCCTGGGAACAAGGAGGCCCAGGAAGAGTCCAGAGCAGCTGAAGGCCAGAGCAGCCGGTAGCGTCCACCTGCTACGACGAGATGGATTCTGCAGAGGACGGAGCTTTCCACCTTCTAAATCAGCACTGCAACGGCTTCATGGTCTCCCAGGTAAGGGGCTGGGGCTGCAGCCTGCACGGGCAGGACCACTGGTCACTGGTCACTCCGGGGCTCAACGCTGCCTGAGGACAGACTGGAGCTACGGTAGTGGGTCATCACCATGGGCCTGGTCTCAGGATGGGAACTTTATTCCAATCACTAGTTTGTTGTTGCTGGGAACATATATGCAGAGAACACACATCCACTCAGCTGTTCCCACCTGTCCTGTTTGAGGACGCTGAGAGAATTCTGAATAGGGTCCTCAACCACTGATTTAAAGACGACTTTGGTGTCTGTTGAGAATCCCCTCAGCAGAGTTGGCATCTTGTCTCTGTCCAGTTCAGTGACATTGATTATATACGAGATGGTGTGTGTTGTTTTATTTACTGCTTTAAAAATGTATTTTGTGGTTGCTAGTGAGCATCAAATGTACCCGGCGAAGCACAACCCATTCCGTGGTTTCTTACCGCACACAACTCACTAACAGGGATGAAATTCTTGGAGCTGGACAGCCGTTCTTACGTACTGACCCCATGTTCTGAGCTGTCCCTTTCTCTTTGATTAAATTGTTGTCGGGTTCTTTTGTGTCACTGCTAACTCATGGTGACCCTTTGGCGGGAGCGGGGAACCTTTATTTCTGCCAACATTTATAACTCCCTGCTCGCAGAGCTACCTGTGGAAACGTTCGAGATGGACTTGCGGTTGTCAATCTGATCCCAAAGAGAGACGGGACAAGAGCACACTGCTCAAGACAGGAAGTCTTTGCTACTTAAACTAAGCTGTGCTTTAAAAAAATATAGATATCATTTGTTTTGTTGTTGAGCTATACAGCGCTTAAGGAGTTCTGGTAGCGTAGTGGTTACGAGTCGGGCTGTGAACCTCAGGGTCAGCAGTTCCAAACTACCAGCTGTTCCATGGGAGGAAGATGAGGCTTTCTGCTTTGTAAAGATTTACGGCCTCAGAAACCGTATAGAGGGTCACTATGAGTCGGAACCAACTCCACGGCACATAACCACCACAGCTCCACAGCAGGACACACTTGGGGGAACATACTCAATCCCAAAAGGAGCGTTGTGACATCTGTAAGCGGGTCTGAAATGACCGGAAGGTTGAAGAAGTCTAGGGTCTGTCCGTGGAGACTTGGATACTAAGGGCTGTCCCCCAGTGTGGGTCCCTGGGGTCCGAGGGTCGTGACTTGGTTTCCCTGTCGTCCCGAGGTCCTCTTCGCTGCCTGTGAGTTGGGTGTGTTCGACATCCTCGCCGAGGCCCCGGAGCCCCTGGGCTCGGCCGTGGTGGCCACACGCCTGGGCACCAGCCACCGTGGGACGGAGCTTCTCTTAGACGCCTGTGTCTCCCTGGAACTGCTGACCCTGGACACCAGGGGAGGGGGAGGTAAGGGGGCGCTGCCCTGGGAGGGGGATTACAAATGGCTGTCCCTAAAGAAACCTCAAACACCACTGCCATCGAGTGATCCCGACTCACAGCCAGCGGCCCTGTAGGACAGAGTAGAACTACCCCATGGGGTTTCCGAGACCGTCCCCACTGCAGACTTACTTTTTAAAAAATCAAATTGGTGTTGTTGGGTTCTTTCAAGTCAATTTCAACTCATGCTGGCCCTATGGCAGGGGTGGGGAACCTTGTTTTCTATAACGCCCTTCGCGGGCCATGCAAAATGACCCGCTTAAACACGAGGCTGCTGTATTTGATGAAACAGTTAACTCAGCCCTCGGGCCACGACTGGAACGCAGGTTCCTTAGCAGGGTCAGACCCAGTGATTTCGAGGGCCTTCTATGGACTCCTGGTGAGGGGCTGTAGGGTCACCACTGGACTGCGAAACACAAGGCCAACGCCTCAGACCACCAGCATTTCCTGGAAACATCTGCAGGGGTCTCTGTGGTTGGACTACAACATACACCCACGGGCTGATGTCTCCCACCCCTGCCAGCCCTATAGGATAGAGTACAACTGCCCCATAGGGTTTCCAAAACTGTAAACCTTTATGCGTGCAGACAGCCTTTATCTTGTTCTCCTCGAAGTCCGTGGTGGATTTGAACTGCCGACCTTCCGATGAGCAGCCAAGCGCTTCACCATGGTTCCACTGAGTTTCTCCCGTTCCAAGGCTGTTAGCCGTTATGAGAATGCATTGGTCTTCAGTACTAAGACCGGCTGTCTCTGTGGACTGTGTCCATGGGAAATGGGAGGAGTTTGTTGTTTTTTATTTAAATGTCCATTTTTGACCAAAATTTAGAACTGTCCATCCTATTTGGATCACCCAAATCACTTCGGCGTCAGGGGTCTCCTCTGCTTCTCATGCCTGCCCTGAGGTTTCCCTGGTGGAACCCACAGGTGTGTGGCTAGGTGGCTCCTTCGGTGAACACCCTACTCGGGGGAGAGCCGAGTTCAAGTCTAACCCCTTTTCCCCCTTGTGTTTCTGTCCTCAGCTCGCTATGGGAACACAGAGCTCTCCAGAACCTTCCTCACCAGGACCAGCCCCAAGTCCCAGCTGAACATGCTCTTCTATCTGGCCACCACCACCTACCAGTGTTGGGCTCACCTGGCCAACGCCGTGAGGTGGGCGCTTGGCAGCATACACACATCCCATGGTATTCTGGGGCTCCCAAACCCACTGGGGCAGAGCGATTCAGGCTCACGGCCTTTCTATAGGACACAGCCTCTAAAGTTCCACAGCTGTGTATCTGTATGGAGCTCTGCTAGCATAGTGGTTACGAATCGGGCTGCTAACCTCAAGGTCGGCAGTTCGAAACTCCCAGCTGTTCCGCGGGAGAAAGATGAGGCTTTCTGCTCCCGTGAAGATTTACAGCCTCGGAAACCCTGATCACTATGAGTTGCACCCTACTCCACACGGTATTTAACAACAAAATATGAACATATGTGGCAGACAGCCACATGTTTCTCCCAAGGAACGGCTGATGGGCTGTTTCGGTTAGCAGCCCAGTGTATTACGGTTAGCAGCCCAGTGTATTAACCACAGCGCAACCAAAACACATCCAAATCCACTGTTACCAAGGCAACCCTGAGTGGTCGCAGCTTTGCACGCCCCCTGGAGGAGCACTCTTGCCTTAAGGTAGATTTGAACCGCAACGTTGGTGGTTGAAAAGCCGCCATTTGCTCCTCGGGTCGCTGTGAGTCGGGATGGACTCGACGTCCAGCAGAGCTGAGACAGCTAAATGTCTAGGTTTCGGATTGTTGTTAAGTGCCGTCGATCCCATAGAGCTCCTGCATAGGGTTTCCCAGGAGCGATGGGTGAGTTTGAACCGCCGACGCTGCGGTCCAGCGCTCACCCTGCAGCGCCATGACAGATTTGCATCAGCACCCGCGTATTTCACCGCGTCCAACACCCCGACTCGGCAGCTGACAAGAAGGGATGATTATTAATATGATTATGAATACTGTTGTTGTTGTTGTTTGTGTCATCGAGTCCACCCTATGGGACCCCACAGAACTGCTCCACTCTATCCGCTAAGGTCACTGTGAGTCGGAACCCGCTCCACAGAAAAGGTTTTGGCGCTTAAAGGAACCCTGGTAGTGCAGTGCTTAAAGCGCCCACTGCAAACCACAAGATCAGTGGTTCAAACCTATCAGCAGCTGCTCGGGAGACAGATGTGCGCCTCGGAAACCCTATGAGGCTGTTGTACCCTGTCCTGTAGGATCGCTGCAGGTGTGGGAACCGGATTTGTATGTATTGGCACCCCACACTGGGGCTTCCCAAGGCGCGCACGCGTACTGTGAGATTCACGCCCCACACTGGGCTGTACAAGGCGCGCACGCGTACTGAGAGAATCGCGCCCCACACTGGGCTGTACAAGGCGCGCACGCGTACTGAGAGAATCGCGCCCCACACGGGTTGCACAAGGCGCGCACGCGTACTGAGTGAATCGCGCCCCACACTGGGCTGCACGAGACGCGCACGCGTACTGAGACAATCACAGGTTCTAACCACAGCCCGTCTCCCTTCCCAGGGAAGGGAAAAACCAGTACACGAAGGCGTTCGGCGTCCATTCCGAAGGGCTCTTCTCAGCCATCTACAGGTGAGGCCCTGGTCCCCACTTCAGGGCGTCTGTGTTTAAAATCCACATGGAGGGGCCAACCCAGGGCCCTCGGCTCCTACTCCCAGCAACCCCGTGTGTGGGCGAGACCTGTGCTCGTGGGGTTTACCCTGGCCGATTGTCAGAGGAGACTGCCAGGCGTTTGTTCCTAGTCTTAGTCTGGAAGCTCCACAAAAAGCTATTCAGCACCAAGGCCACGCAGTTTCCACGGACAGGCGGGAGGGGCCAAGCATGAGGCGCATGACCAGGACTTGAACCCGGGTCTCCCGTGTGAAGAATGAGGATTCTACCGTTGAGCCACAACTGCCTCCCCCAACAGACTAGATTCCAGTCACATCCCGCCCTCATGATGTGACAAGCAAAATGGCAGCAGGAATTGACAAGTGACCCCGGGGGGAAGCAGGGGGCACAGCCATCCCCAGATGAGAACTACCACCATAGATAGACAGACAGATGCATAGACTGAAGATGATAGATGGGTGGATAGATAGAGAGACACAGGCATAGACGATACATACACAGATGTATAATGTATGTAAAACTTACATATATAGATAATAGATGCATAGATGTATGTATGTACCTATGCATGAGCAGTTACACACATGATAGATACACAGATGTATGTATATCTGTGTATGAACAGTTACATACATAGATGATACAGAGGTGTATGTATGTATGAACAGTTACATACATAGATGATAGATACACAGATGTGTGTATGTATGTGTGAACAGTTACATATATAGACAATAGATACACAGATGTATGTATATCTGTGTATGAACAGTTACATACATAGATGATACACAGGTGTATGTATGTATGAACAGTTACATATATAGATGATAGATACACAGATGTGTGTATGTACCTATGCATGAACAGTTACATATATAGACAATAGATACATAGATATATGTATGAATGTATGAACAATTACATAAATAAACGTTAGATACTGATGTATGTATGTATCTACCTTGTACTAACGGTCACATACATAGACGATAGATACACAGATGTATGTATGTAAAACAGTTACATAGACGATAGATACACAGATGTATGTATGTACCTATGTATGAACAGTTACTACATATATAGACGATAAGATACACAATGTATGTACGTATCTATGTATGAACAGTTACAAACATAGATGATACACAGATGTATATATGTATGTATGTATGAACCATTACATACATAAACAATACACAAAGGTATGTATGTATCTATGTGTGAACAGTTACATACATAGACGATACATACATAGATGTATGTATGTCTCTATATAGTTTCATATGTACATACATAGATGTATGTATATATATGTATAAACTGTTGCATACATAGATGATACATACATTGATTATAGATAAATGATAGATGACAGGTAGGTAGCTAAGATAGATTATACATACATACATACATACATACATACATACATACATACGTACATACATACATACATGTGATAGATGAGAGAGACATATAGATCTCAGCAGGTGAAGAGATGACTGCTGTATAGGATGACGGTGGATGGACAGACAGATCATAGATAAATATAGTTACATGGTGGAGTTCCAGTGTGGTGCTGTGGGTTAGTGTGCTGGACTGCAAAGTTGGTTTGAACCGCAAGGTCGGTGGTTCAAGCTCACCAGCTGCTCCCCGGAAACCTTACATATAGGGTCGCTATGGGTCGGAACCAACTCAACGACACTTCACAACAACAAAAATAGATATATGGTAGATAAATATATAATAGGTAAGTGGATTGATGGTAGATGGATGGATGGATAGATGATAGGCAGACGATAGGTAGATACAGATTGGTGATGGATGCATGAATGGATGGATGGATGGATGTATGGAAGTCAGACATAGGTGGATACAGATTGATGATGGATGGATGATGGCTAGATGACAGGTAGATACATAGATTGGTGATGGATGGAAGGATGCGAGGATGGATGGATGGATGGTAGGCAGATGACACATAAGTACACAGATTGGTGCTGGGTGGAGGGATAGATGGCAGGTAGATGGACAGATGGATGGCTGATTAATACCTAGATAGATAGATGGACTGAAACCAACACTAAACCACTTGCCATGACTTGACCCTGACTCACGGCGACCATGTGTGTGAGTTGGGGGGTGATTTTCTGGAAGTAGGTTGCCAGGTCTTTCTTCTGATGCACCCTTTCTTCTGAGAGGTGGACTTGAACCCCCATCCTTTCAATGTGGTCAAGTGTCCTCACCGTTTGCACCACCAGTGGCTCCAGAGAAGGACCCATTCCCAGCACACCAGGGTCCCCCTGAGCAGGGAGAGTCTGGGGGGCTCTGGGACTCCCCATGCGGGTCAACATCATGGCATGGTGGCCTGTACCCTGCCTCACCAAGGGGAGATGTGTCGGGAGAGTGTGTGGTACCCGAGTACTCACTGTGGGTGACATGCAGGCGCCCTGCGGACCTCACCAAGATTTCCTCTAGGTCTGAGACGGAATGTCAGCAGTTCATGCTGGGCCTGCAGGAGGTCTGGAGCGTCCACGGGGGAGCTGTGATGGCCGCCTTTGACCTATCAACCTTCCCTGTCATCTGCGACCTCGGAGGTGAGCCTCACCCCAGAGCGGGGCCACACACACTGTCTGCTCTCCACTCGGCATGGACTCACAGGGACCCATGCACAGCACCTGCACACTGCCCACCCTGCACCCAACACATGCTTACTGGCCATTCTGACCACTGGGCCCAACAGGCTTTTATTGTTGTTGTTAAGTGCCATCGAATCAACTCCGACTGAACCAACCCCATGTACAACGTTACACAACACTGCCTGACCCTGTGACATCCTCTCTACCCGTCCGTCTAATAGAGGGACTTCCACTTTTTCCTGGACCTCCACTACCTAGAATGATGTCCTAGAGGAACTGAGAACCCTGTGAAGCACAGTTCTACTCTGACACACAGGGGCACCATGAGTGGGATCTACTTATGAAA